GCAAAAGTTAAGAGTGATTTACGGTGAAAACCACCCACCTATATTAAGGCAGTAAAGAGAAACTGACAGGGTTAAAGATCCTTGCAGGGTATTTATCAACAGATCAGCCTCATATATCTGTTTTCAGCAGGTTATCTGCTGCCTCAATCTTACAGGTATGCCAACAATTCAGATTCTCCAGGGCCAGTGGAGCTAACAACAGTAAAAACACCAGGGTCATTTCTTCCCAGAATTTCTTGTGTTGATACAGGATTCTTTCCAGACCAGCACTGTTTCAACAATTGCTTGTCTGTTTCAAACTTTAGAGACGTGATAGTAATACGGAAATAATAAACTCACAACCATCAGGAGCCCCTCTCCCCCGGCCTGTACAAAGAACTTTAATTAAACAACATGCTTGAACCACCTCTGGTAATTGTTCCATGGCACGTTCATGTTAAATTCCTTTCAAGCCGATTGCTTTTTTGAGTCTCAGAAAGCTGAGGCTTTCAAGTAAGTAGGTGTTGTGTGCTGCCTTATCTCTCTGCCTGACTTGCACTTCTGTGTAGGCTGCTGAGTGCATTTCAGCTTGCTGGGAAGCTCCTGTTGCAATCAAAATATTTTAAACACTTTGTTCCTTAGTCTGAAGAGCCACTCAGCCAGCTGCCCTTAGCATTAGAGCAGAAGCATCATGACAGTGCACTTTGCCATATCAGCTCTGTAAACCATGAAGCATTCATGCTATTCCCGCCTAAAATGCTCTTCCCTCCAGCCACCTCTTTATGTCCAATCCCACTGAATTTGGGGGATCTAAAATCCCAATTCCTCCAAGGAGCTTTTCAAAATTCCGTTCAGTGAGTGGTCTAATTCATCCTTCTAAACTCCATAACGTACTAGCTGTTCTTTTTTAAGGGTCACTCACCATTTTTTATTTGATAACGCATTTTTTAGAGGGAGGTTTCCTTCTCCAGACTTTAAACTCCTTGCTTTAAAGCAAGCAGAGTCTATGTTTAACTCGGTGCCCTGCATGAAGAACAGACTCATTGGATAGTTCTTGAATTCACGAAACAACATGAATTCGCCATGTTGTAGAGAGGACAGAACATGTGTGGGTTTGAGATTAAGCGTCCAATAAATGTTGAGAGACCAACACATTCTACATATGTGAAATGACTCCTCATGTCTATCTCATATAATTGTTTTAAGGATATGATAAAATGCAAAACATATTGTTGAACAGTGTTAGGCACACACTAGATGCTCAGCAATGCTCCCTTTCCTTCTGTGTCCATTCCCCACATTTATTGAATAGTTGATGTGTGATTGCTCTTTCCAGCAAGCCATTTTCATAGGGTACGAAAGATGATCTAATGTGCATCCCTGTGTCCTCCAAATAGAAGAAGCTAGTTTGGTTCCAGGGTAGCACTGGACCTGCACAGACTAAAGGGATGCAGTGACTCCATTGGTCAAAAATGGACCTCAGTTATCCTGGCTCCTAAATGTAAATTTAGGTTTTTTCCATGCACTGTGGGAATTCTGTTACCTACACCTCCCACTCTCTCAGAACCACCTCAATTCTGAGGAAAAATGGGAGGGGATTTAGTGTGTGATAAAAATCTGACTTTGTATTAATAACCAAAAAGCTTAACAATATAACCGATGAATGGTTTAAAAATTCAGGCTTGGAAGTTTAAATGTCAGTTCTGCTACTTAGTAGCTGTGGGAACTTGAGTGTTACCTAACTGCTTAGTGTCCTCTTCTGTACAGTGGGGATTAAAGGATTTACCTAAAAAGGTTTTTTTGACATAATGAACGCAAACCCCATAGTCCAATTTTTGGCACATAGTAGGCACTTAGTTACATTAACTATAATCATTAAACATCTCTGTTTACTTTCAAGTATGTAAATATTGACTGCCTGATCCTTTAGGATTCTTTTACACAAACTGAAAACCATATGGCCTCCCACGGTCTGCTATTTTAAATGTCTAGTCTGAGCTACGAGCGTTTTTCTTTTTCCTGATGGGTTCACCATTTGCCGTTGCCCAATTACTTAATACAGAAACAGTTCAACATTGCAGAAAACAAACTGGTATCCCAACTTAATTCACTGTTCATGAAAAAAATTAATAAAAGTGGAACTGTGTGGCTCTGATCACCTGGCTTTTAGCAGGGAAGAAAATATTTCATGTTTTCTAATTTGTACAAGTAGTTTGCCATCTTCCTCACCTTCCATCTCCCCTATCAGTTACTGATAGTGTTTTACTTTTTTAAAACCCCTTTCGCCTCAGAGAGCCTGAGGAGGTGGGGGTGGAGGTGCCGGGGCTGGCGGGGCCAAAGTCCCCTTCCTCCCGCCCCCCTCCCCCCCCGCGGGGTGGTGGCTGTTCCTGGCCCAAAGTCTCCTTCCCAATTTTTTCACTTCCTAGAGCAACCATTCGCGCCGTGCACTGGGTGGAGCGCCCCGAAGTACCTGGGCGAGGCACCGCAACCCCAATTTACAGCTTGTGGGAGCACCAGCACTTCCAGGTTTTCTTCTTCGAAATATTCATTTGGATCACAGACTCTTTTTTAAAAAAACTAATAACAGCTAGGGGCGCCTTCCCCTAGAAAAAGGATCCTATCGAATTTCTGCATAAAATTTCAAAGTGTTTAGGCTCCGGGAG